AGATAAAAGTAAGGTGGATAAAAGAGACAGAAATGTAAAAAAAATAAAATAATAAAAAGTAAATAAATATGTGCAAATGATAGCATAGGCCTGAATCCATGCAATATATGGCTATCTGCTTTTCCTGGTAGAGTTAATAATAATGAATTTTATTTGTAACACACTTTACATTTGACTTGCATTTAAAAAGTGCTACATTAAAAAAAACAAGGTTAAAAGACCATAACATTAAAAATAGAGTAAAAAGACAATCATTAAACTCAATACATTGAAAGGCATACGTAGCCTATTCAAAAATCTAAAATCAGCAATTGTAGGCATTTCTAAAAAGGCCTACAATTTAGCAGCTGAAGAGCAGAGGGAATAAAGGATTGTTTGTATCTGTTGGTCCAAACTGGTGGGTATTTAAAACGGGAACCAGAGGGTAGAAACTGAAATTCGTTATGTAGGGGATTGGTATAATTATCCAAAATGGACTCAGCCTTCCTGATTACCTGATCTTCATACATCTCAGTCATGTTTTTCTGTTGAACACCCGTGATCATTAAGGCCTGACACGGACTGGAGTCAGTTTGTTACACAATAAACATAAAGACTTTATCTGGACCGCGTTCGGCTTCAGGCTAATCCCACTGAGAGCCACTGTGATGACTCAGCAGGGTCAGCTGTGCGGTTTCTATAGAGTCGGACAAACATCCCGCAGCACATCTCACTTGTTGCTCCCTCAGATCAAAGAACATTTGGAACAACAGAAATATGGCAAAACAGAAATGCAGCAACTACAAAGAATCTAAATTTTTCACCAACGATTACTTTCCTGCTCTGACTCATTTAAATGTTAAATTACTTGATTCAATATCGAAAGATTAAAAAGTTTTTCCTTGGTTTATGCATCATCCATGTGTGCTCCCAAGGGATTTTAGTAACTTAGGGCCTTAAATAATTAATGTGTTTGGAAAAGCTCATGTTCCATTGCCCCGATTACTTTGATATTTTAGGTGTTTCCCTCAAGTTAGATAAGTATTCATTACTTTTCTGGAAAGAACGCTATTCTGCTGGACCCCCCCTCAGATGTTTGTTGGGTCTGAGATCAGAAACAAAAAATAAGGCTCATTTTATGACATATGGGATCAGTTCCTGCAACAAATTAACTCTGGAGAATAAAAAGAATATACCAACCTTTAAAAAAAAAAAAAAAAGTATTCATTATTTTATTGTACATAATTTCTATTATATTTAAATATTTTTATTCATGTCAGATTGGGTGGAGGTTTTAGAGGAGGACCCAAATGCAGAGACTGAAGCTGAAGGTGCTTTATTAAGAAGAACAGTTACCGAATACAGTTTTCCTTTAATATCTGACCAACAATGTCAAAATGTACAATCCTCCAACTCTGAGATGTTTTAAACGGCAAAAATCTGGTCACATAGCAGCAGTATGTAAGGACAAACAACGATGTAGAAGGTTTGCTGGGGAGCATAAATATGGAAAGTGTCATGATTTTTATCTAAGGTCTGACCCCAAGATGCAGAAGACCAAACAGAGAGACCATGGAAAAGTTTAACAGGTTTATGTATGGTGATGACTCAAGTACAGCTCAGTGTAGAAGGGAATGAGCCCAGTGTTGCTCTGAACACTGCTCAATGGGAACTGGAAGGTGAGGGGAAGACACTGGTTAGTTCAGGCTCAGTGGGAAAATTGAATCTTAGAATTGGAGGAAAAGGTTGCAGACTCACCTCTCCAGGGTAAGATGTCCTTTATGGAATCCAGAGTGAGAGGATTGTACCAGAGAGTGTCTTGCTTGGTGATGGGTGGACTGGGTTACTCCTGTGTTCCCGACTGCCACTCAGATTTCCTGCAGTACTTGAATGGGCTGTAGTGCTGAAAAAACCTTTGCTTGGTGTGAAGCTCAAACGACCTCTTGGGGAGAGTTGATCCAAACTTCCTGTTTGGAACCCCAGCTCAGTTAGAAGCTCAGTTGAACCTTCCAGAGAGAGAAGGACCGAACAAATCCAGTTTGTAGGAAGACTTCCTGCCGAGAGGCAAAGACAAAAACAAAGTTAAGACTCAGGTTGACAAAAACTCTGTTTGACTCAGAAAAACTCAGCTTGACTAGAGAATCCAAAACTGGCAAACCAAAACTTAGGTTAGACTCTGCTAAACTTGGCTAGCATGGCTAGAGTACCCTGAATTGGCAAACACTCTGGCGTCCAGGTAGTGGCAGTCTGCAGCTTAAGAAACCTCCACAGGTAATGAGGCAATAAACTGCAGGTGTGCAGGGGGACCCAGTGAGGATGGGGCACCACCTGGTGGAGGAGGAAAGGAAACACAAAAACAGACCACACAAACTGGATTCCTGACATAAAGAAGTTATAATTAAATGCTATGACTGTGGTGGAGAACATACTGCTGCATATCGAGGCTGTGAAGTGAGCAAAAGATCTGAAGAGATAAGAAAAGTGAAACAGGAGCTCGGAATAAGCTATGCTGAAGCTGCAAAAAGAATCACAGTTAAAAGGATCTAAATCAACAGATGAAAAGCAAAACCTCTGCAGGATTGCTCCAACATTGCAGAGGAATAATTGATTGTTAAAAAGGTTTTTGTTCTTTTCAAGGTAGAAGTGATCAATTGTAGTGCTCAGACTGCAAAGAAAACTGAAAAATCAAAATACAAGTGAAAGCTGCAGAAAAGTACCATCTCTCACTCAGTGGCGGCTCTAGACCAAAATGTACCAGGGGGGCCAGGAGGGGGCCAGCGTGTTTTCATGGGTGCACAAAAAAGCATTTAAGCATTAAAATTCTAAATGTCTATTAGGTCAATATACATTCAGAATTTAGGAATTTACATGTTTTTGACTTGATTTAAGTTTAAATTACAGTTTTCTATAAAATCTAAATTAGAATTTAAGAAAAACTGTTAAACTCAGCTGTAAAAATTAGAGTAATTTTAAAATTTTGTTTTGAAAAAACATTTAGCAGATGAAAACTGGGATCCTATCTCAATACCAATGCAGCTATCACCTTATTGTTTTTAAATAGTTAATAAAACAGAATTTGTAAATAAAAAAATGAAATAGATCTAAAGGACCAATCAGTAACCATGTCTTTTCCAGCGCAGATCATCATTAGAATTTCTTTGAGTATTATGTGTAAAGTACAGGGGCTAGGGCATGATCTACATGGGCCATGGCCCCCGTTGGACCCTGTATAGAACCGCCCATGCTCTCACTTCAAGAAGTGAGAGATTTAAACTGGGAAATGGTTGAAGTATAATGGGAAAATGAGTAGGAGCGTCAGAAACTGGCAGAGTCACATAAGCATAAAGACAAATGAGTAATTATGAGGGCATTTTTAATTATGTTTTTCATTAGGTTGGCTTAAAACATACAGTTTGCAAAACTATTATTTTGTTAATTTTATTTCAATTTTCTTTTATTTTTTTTCTGGGGTTTGTTTCCTGTTTCTTCATTTAACTCCTTATGAGTTGGTGGCGGTAATGCGCTTTAACTAGTTTGCCGAACGCCATAAAACACTACGAGAAGAACAAGAAGAAGAAGGTGGTTTCTTGCAGATTTATTTATCAAAAAAAAGGAAACAGAAGCAAAAATCCAAAAACATAAATCCTCAGAAACTGCAAAAATACAGAAATCTCATATAAAGTGGAAGAAACAAAGCAAAACTTTAAAAAATCTGCATCTGATAAATGATGTTCTGCCATTTTTTGTTTAGAAAAAGGTTCAGTAAATTAGATTTGAAAAAAGATAATATTCACCTAAATTCCGCAAGTTTAGTGAAAGTCATTTTTGACTTTCTATCTCTATTCTCCCACTCTGCAGAATCTGTTAGTTCAATCTCTAACGTTCTGCTCTCTCTGCTTTTTCTCATAGTAGCTTCATCTGGTCTGTTCCTGTTTGGCTGTGACTCCATCCTGGAGAGAAATATCAGCTGTGCTGCTGCCATCAACATCTTTGTTTCTAGTTGTTGGAGATCGGCCTGTTTTCCAGTGTAGTCCTGTTTCTCTGACTGTGACTAACTGGATGTGCTCTCTTCATCCTCTGACATGGGAGCTGGCTCTGAGCTCGTCTGCCTGGCTGTGTGCTTCCTGGACGGGGCCGCCTTTTACAGCTGCTTTTTCTATGCCTGCTTCTGTCTCCTTGAACCCCAGTCGGCCTCAGCAGATGGCCGCTCACACTGAGCCTGGTTCTGCTGGCGGTTTCTTCCTGTTAAAATTGAGTTTTTCCTCTCCACTGTCGCTACATGCATGCTTAGTGTGAGGGATTGTATTTGAGTCAATGAGTCGATGCATTCAGCTGGTTTTCCTTAGATAGAAAAATTTTAATCAATCTGACTGGATGATCTGGTGACCTGGAAAGTGCCTTGAGATGACGTGTTGTGAATTGGTGCTATAGAAATAAACTGAATAGAATTGAAGAAAATTACTTTGAGCAGGAAGGATCTCCTGCAGAGGTCAGTATTGCTGCAAAAATTTAAATCTAAATTAGTAATTTTTTCTTAAAATAAGTGCATTTTTTCTTGAATTTAAGGGGTAAGTAAGACCCTCTGCCAATGGAATAAGAAAATTCACATTTAAAATAAGAAAAAGCAAATTCGTTGTCTTATTTCAAGTGCATATTATCTAATTATCTTATTTTAAGAGTAAATATTCTCATCCCATTGGCAATAAATCTTATTAACCTACTCAAATTAAGGGTAGATACATTTAATTTAAGACACTTTGACTTATTTCTAGATGTTTTTTGCAGAGTATGTGGAGAATCCCCGACAAACTCTGTTGTATGAAAACATTAAGATTTATATATCAATATATCCACAAATTCCTGTATTTTCACTTTAACTTGATCATTTTCCAGCTGATGGGAGAAACAGACCCAGGTGAAACAAAGCAGCGTGGTTCACTAACCTGAAATATGACGTCAGAATGTGAGTAGAAACCCTGCAGAAGGTCTGATGTGTTACATTCATCTGTTTTCTGCTCCAGAAGGACCTTTCAGAGGAGGATTTCAGGTCGGAGGTCACACAGGTCCATAAGGTGAGGTTGACTAGAATAACGATAAACACACAGATGGTGAATAGAAGCTTGTTCTAAAGGCTCAACATGCAGGTTTGCTTTGTTCATGTAGGAGTTCACGCTGGAGACGTTTGCAGGCCCGGTGTTCGCCAACCTGCGGGGATCCTTAGGAATAACAGAGGAGGAATATCAGCAATCTCTGTGCTCCGAAAGCTGCTACCTCCAATTTATCAGCAACTCGAAGAGCAAAGCAGACTTTTTCCTCACGTAAGTTTCATCCTAATAAGGATTCTGCTGAATACTGAGAACTCTGCATGTGGCGCCGTATTCAGGCTGGATGAAAACACTGATACATCAATCCTGACTCAGGACTTTCTTCTTCGGTTTGTGTTGTTTGAAGGGAACATTTTAGCTCATATACGATCAATATCTGTAATTTATGATCAGCGATTCAGGCTTCATCATAGGATGTTCTCCTGCTGATGGAACCACATCATCTCAGTCCAGAAACACATTTTATAGATTGGATCAAAAAAGCCTGGAGGTTTGTTTCTTTTTCTGTTTTCTTTCAATGATAAACTTAAACGTGACATTTTAGTTTAGAATATTTGATCAGATCAATAAAAAAAATTAATTCAGGTACAAAGTATGTCTAATGCCTGCTAGCAGGTTTTCACATTTTCATATTTCTATTTTATGATGAAAATTGAAATTTTGAAAAGAAAAAAAATAGTTAAAAATAGAATAAAAAACGAAAAATATCACATAGTCTTTACTTTCTGGGCTGGGATTTCCTGTGGAATGAGAAGCAAAGACGTATTTCTATAACCTGACAACAGCCAGATGCATGTCTCGCTCCGCCTAGCTCCGGAGCTGGGCGGAGCGAGACATGCATCTGGCTGTTGTCAGGTTAGTATTTCTATTGGTCGGCACAAAAGTTTTATTGACCAAGAACGAGTATTTGATATATTATATTATGTTATATTATATTAATTCATTATATTATATCATAATATTATAAGTGTATTTGAAGGCTGTACAGTGGGGCAGTGGGTAGCACTGCTGCCTTGCAGCAAGAAGGCTCTGGGTTTGATTCCTGGGGTTTGACGTTTGCGTGTTCTCCCTGAGCATGCATGGGTTCTCTCCGGGTACTCCGGCTTCCCTCCAGCTTCTTATTGCCCTGCGATGGACCCAGGTTGGACCCCACCTCTCCCCCGCAGACAGCTGGAGAGGCATCAGCACCCCTCGCCACCCCGCTTGGGAAAAGCGTGGCGGAAAATGGACGGATACGCGTATTTGGTTTGAAGGGAAGAGATACGTAAAATGCATTTTGGAAAGAATGTAGTTCTTAATACTTAATCTAAAAAAATAAATAAAAAATCTCAAATCTGAACAAAAAAATAAATTTTAATAAAGAAAATATGAAAAAAAAGTTGAAAAAATAACATCTGAGAAAAGAGCACATTTTCTCTGTAAGCCTTTTTTTAAGGTGAGAACTTTTCAAAATTTAATTTCTGGATTGCATTTATTTTTATTTCCATTTGCAACAATTGTGGTTTAAATTTGACTCCGTGCCGCGTAGCGGGTGCTCAGTCGTCTGCATTGGTTCCTTTCCTGTTTGTTCATCATCTCTGATATCTTCGTGTGTTTTTCACTAATGATGAGAAGAAAGGGCCATGGTCAGATTTTAATGATGCAGACTCTACTTTAGTCTTTCTTTAAAGAATTTCTTTAAAGTAATCCATCATCCCGGATGACCTTGCTGTCATGATTTGATTCTAAGATCTGACCCACATGCAGAAAACCAAACAGAGAGACCAGGGGAAGGTTTAACAGGTTTATTGAGAACTGGTAGAGATGGATCCAGTGCTGCTCTGAACACTGGCGAACCGGGACTAGAAAGTGAAGGGGAAGATCCAGTGGTTAGTTCAGGCTCAGTGGGAAATTTTAGCTTCAATTTGCAAAAGGGAATAAAGGCAACAGGACTCACTTTTCCAGAAAAGGCGTCTGCATCCAGTGTGGGTTGTTTCAGTAATTGACTCGTTGGAGGGCGGACAGGGTTTACCCAGATTGAGGTGTTTTTCTTAGAGGAACGGAGGAGCTGACTGCCACTTAGATTTCCAATTGTACTTGAACGGTTTCTTGTGGAGATGACTCCCCTGCTCAGTGAGAAGCTCAAACAATCCTTTGGGGAAAAAGTGGATCCAAACCTCCTGTTTGAATCCCCAGCTCAGTTTGACGCTCAGAGAATCTTTCCAGGGGGAGAAGGTCATAAAACATCCAGTTTGCAGGATGACTTTCTGCCAAGAGGCAAAGACAAAAACAACAAGTTTAAGACTCAGGTTGACAAAAACTCAGTTTGACTCAGCAAAACTCAGCTTCGCTAGAGTACCCAAAACTGGCAAACACTCTGGCGTCGAGGTAGGTCAGTCAGCAGCTTAAGAGTCCTCTGGTAATGAGGCAACCATCGCAGGTGTGTGAGAGGACCAATGAGAACCAGGCACCACCTGGTGGTGGAGGGAAAACAAACAAAAACACAACCCACACAAACTGGATTCCTAACACTTGGTGCTTTGCTGTTCCGCTGCATTGAAATGAAGCATTTTTAAACCTTTCAGAGCTGTTTAAGAAGCTCTGAAAGCTTTAAAAAAATAATAATAACAATAATTGAACTTTATTGATCTCACAATGGAAAAATTTACCTCTGCATTTAACCAATCCCCTTGGGGAGCAGTGGGCTGCCATCGTGCTGCACCCGGGGAGCAGAGTGGCAGTCTGTGGGAGTGGGACTCAAACTCAGTACCTCAGGGTTCCAACCAGTAGGCCGCATACACTGCATGGGGAGAATATATATTAAGCCCTGAGTTTAAATGTCCAGCAGGAACAGTTGTACCTGAAGATCCTCCAGAATTAAAGCTTTTTCACTCAGTTTGGTTCAGACTCATTATAATCAACACACATCCTACTTTATTGTTAAGTTCTATTCATATTAATTGAATCGATGCTTCTTGTGTTTTTCCACCTCTAGAAATGATAAACGTTTCTTCCTGAAGACTCAAAACAAACGGGAGATAAAATTCCTTCTGGCCAACCTGAAGATCTACATGGAGCATCTGAGGAATTACCCACATTCACTGCTGGTCAAGCTCTTAGGTAGAATTCACACACCTGACCCACAACCTGAACCTGCTTTTAAACCAAACATCCTCAGCCACAGCTAGAGATGACCTGCAGTTTTCAGATTACAACAGAAACATTTTAACGGAACCTCGCCCCATGAGCTGCAGGAGGCATTTCTTCAACATGATGTGACGTTATAGTAGAACTTCAGCCCGTTTTCTCTGATATCCTCTGCAGTAAATGCTTCTCGGTGCAACTGTTGCACTTATGATCCCTTTGCTTTCCTTTTCAGGGGTTCACAGGATCCGAATCCCGCGCAGTCGGAAGGTACTGATCCCATTTTAACTCGGTTCTCCAGCAGATTCTTACTGATGCTTTTCTAAATCTATATTTGAGAAAAGGAATTTGACATTTCTAAAGAGAAATAGAAAGAATAAGTTAATGAGCACCTGCCTGATAACAAGAAGCAGGCTTTCATATCTCAGAAAGAATTCCCTAATGCTATAATCTGAGGAGACTCCAGAACAGAAGAGAAAAAAAGGGGTAGTGTTGCAACGATACCGATACCAAAAGTTTATTCAACTATTGTCATCCATTCCAGGTAGGCAATAAAAAGTTCTACTGGGCTAACCTGACTCCGCCAGATGGATTTGCTCCGCATATCCATCTGGAAACCTTCCGTTGAAGTAATTTTGGGAAGGGGCGAAAATACTGGTTAGCTGATTGGCCTATGTTGGTGATAGACGGGCCAAATAAACCAATCAGATCAACGAAGCATATGACGTACTAACAGAGCGACGACGAAGAGGAGCCAATTGATAGATCAAACTCTTGCTGAAACCAGTCGGGAGAAGAGCAAAAACATCTTTTCCTCTGAGAAAAGCCTCCAGAGCAGTGTTTTGCTCTTCTTTCAGTGAAGAAATACTCTGTAATTCCCATAAAACTTGCACGATAGCCACGCTAACGCTAGTTTCATCGGCTGAAGCCGCCATGTTCTTTAGACTGAACTGTCGCGCTTCTCGTTGCGTCACACCTCAACCCGCCTCAAAGCCAACGCTGATTGGACGTTCGTTTGGTGAACGGCTCCAAATTTTCTTTAACGGAGAGTCTCCAGACTGATCTGCGAGTGAAACCTTGAAAGCTCGCGAGATCAGGATGGTCTCAGGTGGCTAGTGTTGGGCACGTTACTTTGAAAACGTAATTAGTTATAATTACTAGTTACTTCTCCCAAAAAGTAACTAAGTTACTAACTGAGTTACTTCACAATAAAAGTAACTAGTTACTAGAAAAAGTAACTATTGCGTTACTTTTGTGTTTCTCGTCCCAGTAACCCTCACCACCTAACCCCCACCTTCTCGCCGTATGATTCAAAAGCCAACTGAATAGAGCGGACGACAAAGACAAGATCTATCTATCTATCTATCTATCTATCTATCTATCTATCTATCTATCTATCTATCTATCTATCTATCTATCTATCTATCTATCTATCTATCTAGGCTATCATTTGATCGTTCACGCTCTCCGTAGTTCCCCTGTGGCGGCACAGGGCGACTGTTACGTGCCTTTAGCGAGCGTACGCGTTTCCTGTCGCTTGTGCGGTGAAATGGCCGCCTGCGCTGTGCGGAGATGCAGGGGAAACCGTACGATGGGGAAACGCAGCTCGATGTAACACCGGTATTTCCATCTGGAAAACGCTGTTTTGCTGCTGGAGTCCTCCTGACTCTCCATCTCTCTGTGTTTGCTCTACGTTAACACCTGCCAGCGGAAACACCCACCTACCCAACTTACAGACGGAATCTCACTATACATCAGCAATTCTCATCCTCCCCTCTCTCATGACAAGGCGCGCACGAGTCCTATCATGAAAAAAGGTTAATTGTGCGACCTGAGTAACGCGCAGTAACGGGGTGTCGGCAATAGTTACTGTGTTATAGTTACAGTCAAAGTAATTAGTTCGATTACTCATTACTAAAAAAGGTAACAGTGTTAGTAACCCTTTCAACGCCGTTACTCCCATCACTGCATCCAAGTAGTATGCAGATCGTCATATATACTCACACATTAATTTCAACCCGAGGGTATCAGTATCGGCCAATACTGCACGGCCAGGTATCGGGTATGGGGGCCAGAAAATAGCATCTGGGCAACACTAGTTTTTAATTTGTTTGATGGTCTCAGTCTCCTCTTCTTGTGTTTTTTTTTTTTGTGGATCAGAAGCTTGAAAGTAGCAGAACCACCGTTTTAAACCCTCTTACAGAGCATTATTTTCTGTTTTCTCATCACAGAAATACTTCATGGTGATGCAAAGCGTGTTTTATCCAGATGATCGCATCAACGCCAGGTGAGTCTGGATCCTAGGACGCAAACAGTGCAGAAAGTTCTGGGTTTAAGTGTGTTTTTTTTTCTTTCTGCCAGATACGACATTAAGGGCTGTGAAGTGAGTCGCTGGACCGAACCGGCACCAGAGGGGAGCCAGATCATCGTGGTCCTCAAAGACCTCAACTTTGAAGGACAGTTCATCAGTCTGGGTGAGGATGTTATTATGGTGATGAACAGCACTTAGACTTCCACAACTTCTATTTTCATTTTATATACGGAGAGTTTATACAAAACGAAATTCATTTAGTGCAGATTTTCAAACAGTAGATAAACTTTTCCGTTCCTTAAAGTGTGTAATGTAAACATTGTGGGAGAAAAAACATGGTGCAAAAACACGCATAGATATGGAAGACCAGAGCATTAATATATGTGGTGCAAATCTGCAGTGTTTTGGTGTTATTAGTGAGATGCAGAGTTTTTGACATGATTTAGAGTTTTTTCAACAACACCCCCTGCTGGTCAGACACTGTACTGCTTCCAGTCCTGGTCTGACAATTGAATTATTTTCAGTGTTTTAGTTCTTCCATTACCAACACCAGTATATGGAAGCCCGTTTTTCCGCCACTCTGTAAAAAATAAAATAAAAATTACTCATTATAATGAAATAGTATCTCATTATATTGAGATATTCTTTTTTTTTTTTTACAGAGTAGCGGAAACAGGCTTCCATACCAGTATGAAGGACCAACTCTACCATATTTAAAAAACAAATACAGAAATGAATAAATGCTCAATAAATAAATAAGCATAAAATAATTGCCCCCGAAAATACAATAAACAAATAAATGTAGGTAGTAATTAAATTATACAGTGATATATAAATGTATATATCTCTTTTAATTAGCTTCTTTATTTATTGGCCTTTGTAATAATTATCTTATCTATTTATTGTCCGTTATAATCTTCAACTTTATGTATTAATTACTTATTTTTTAAGTATTCATTTCATGTTATAATGTTTTTGTCTGTTTTATTCTTCCTTTGTATTTTTTACTCTAGTTATTTCTTGAATGTTTTTAATTTCTGCTTGTCGTATTTGCATTTTTGCCTCATTATATAAATGAGGAGGGCTGCATCTTAGAGGGTCACCTTCTGCCCATTGGTCTGCTCAGAGTATTAAGTTAAAAGTTTTATTTTCTGTCGCTTTTGTCCAATTTAAGTACATTTAAAGATCATTTGAGGCAAGAACACTATACTTTTAACCGTCACTATTAGGTGTGTAAATCACATCCATCATTGCGATTCGATTCAGTATTGATTTCCTGACCCAAAGATTCGATTATTTTCGATACTCAAGAATACACCACGATTCGATTCAATTCGATTAATCGGTAAATTTTTTATTTTTTTTACACCTTACAGGCTAAACATTTTCAAGTTCGAAATAAATAAATGAAAGCTGTAATATCGTTATGCATTTAAAAAAAAAAAAAACAACAGCAAATACCAAAAGTAGAAAAGTTGCATCAAAAAATACTGCACAGAATCAGTGCAATGAGTGCAATGCAATACCTCGGCTTCAGATGTCCCCGCCCCCTCCACAGACGCTTTTTCCAGCTGGATCTCCGCTCTTTTTGGCCCTCGTGTCCCTCCATCGTCGGACTAAACTCGCCCCCACTTCCTCGCCGCCTCGGCCGTATCTAGACCCACAGCGTGTAGCTCAGACCACGCTTCAATATTGAGCATAAATCAAAAATGTCTGCGTCAAGCTCACTGCGACACACTGCTGTAAGAGTATAACCAGGAAGCGCGGTAGGAGGGCAAAATAGGTTTATCGCCACCACAGCACGGGAGGGAGAATTACGCCCAGGAGCAAATGAATAAAAATAGACCGGAGGAAAAAAAAACATGAATCCATACTATTGCGGACGTGTCGATGCATCGGATCGTCGGCTGTTGGATCGATGCTTCGATACAAAATGATTATTATTTACACCCCTAGTCACTATATGGACTATTTACTGATTTAATGCATATGCTGGTGAAGGTTCTCAGTCATCCAGGTCATAGTCATTCCAAAAATATTAAAAACAATCCACTGGACTTTGTTTCCAAGTTTGAAGACGTTTTGCTTCCCATCCAGGAAGCTTTTTCAATTCAAAATGTCATTTTGCCAGATTATCGAGTCACTTTTCAAATGAACCCTGTTAAAAACATGGCTCAATATATATTCTGTTAAAACTTTAAACAGAAGCAGTGTTTCAGAAACCCCTCCGTTTGGAGACGCTCCTTTTCGAGGGATTAAAGTCTGTAGATTCTACAGAAAAAAGAATAAAGCTAAGATCAAAGCCTCATGTTCGCATTCAAAGAGTCTAAAAAAAGCATTTCCATTCAAACTATGTCATGTTCACCACAAAGGTCAGTGGATTTAATGAAACATTCCAGTACAGCAGAGCTGTGAGGTGAAAGAAAGCAAAATGTGTGTGTTTTCTTTTTTTTTATGTTTTATGAGCTCTTTATAGATCATAAAACATAAAAAAGTGTCAACATATTGGGTAATTCTGTTTTTTGTAAAACATCACTGCTTCAATGCAGTTGAATGGAGAACATCTGTTTTTATGTCTTTTCACACACATTTAGTCACATTAAAGCTACAGTGTGTAATAATTACAGGGATATACAGTCAGAAATGTAATATATTATACATAACTATGTTATTTATCATCATCTACGAGCTCAGCCTCTTAACCTCAATATTTGAGTTGCCTTAGAATTTGTTATTTATAATTACATAGGAGCGGGTCTCGCAGCCATGGAGAAAGACATCTTTGCGCTACGGCACCGCAGAACCAACAAACTAGTGATTGCGAGATCTCCAAAACGTCACAACGATGTAGAAAAAATAACGGGTATATTTATTATCTTAAGTCTACATGAAATCTATACCCTACACAGACTAATGAAATACTATCTGTAAAATTATCTATGTAAACAAACCTCATCACTTGAGAAGGTAGGTGATGCGGACGTCGTGGAAGACATTTTGTCCCGTAACGCTCGCCGTACTGTTGGGGGGGTGAAGCGGTGGGGGGGAGATGTTCATGTTGCTGCAGTCTGCAGTCTGACCACTAGATGTCGCTAAAAGTTACACACTGTAGCTTTAAGTCCTGGAGTCTCAAACATTTCCAACAAAATAGGGCCTGAGTTTGTAAAGTTTGTAATCTGGTAAAACAAACTGAGCTTAGAAGCGTAAGGTCCCTCACTCCATCTGACCCATGTTTACGCAATAACACAGTTTTATTTGTGCTGCTGTCTGTCAACTATAACTATACAAGGGTTGACGTTAAGGATTTTTACCACTTGCCCTTTGGGCAAGTGACTTTCACATTTCATTTGCCCAGAAACAATTTTTACTTGCCCAGTATGTTTGATAAATATAGTTCCTAGTATTCATTTTTGTATATATATCAATGAAACATGTTTGTTTTTTTAAATGTTTTTTGTAATTCAGTGTTTTTTAAGTTTCCTGGTTCCTGGTGTGTATATGCATGCGTCAGATAATGAACTCCAGCCTACATTACCGTGTTAACATGCTTTTCAATCTTTCCTGCTCATTCTTTTCAAACTAAACTTTGCTTTAAACTGTTGTTTGATTGGAAAAATATAAATTGTAATGTTAAAAATGTAAAAAAAGATTTGACAGGTTCAAAACTTACACTACTACTACTCACCAATCTAACATGTTTAGCTCTATAACATTTAAATGCACCACTCCAATGTCTAAGAGAAAAAACTTTAATGAACATGTTTTAATGTATGACCTGCATCACTGTATATAAGACTGCCATATGATAGAAATATTTTCACTGTGCGCATACAATTATTATTATTTTCCTAATCCCTGACTGATCATTTTTAATCTAGCGTGTATTATAGTATAGATTAAATTCATCATCCAGCTGCTGCTCTGCAGAATTCTCTCCCCAAGGAGAGAAAAGTCACGCCATCCAGAGGAAAATCACGCGAGAATTTTTCAAATCACGCGAAAATGTGTGCAAAACAACAAAAATGGCGCCGGCAACGCTTGTGGGTCGTTTTCAGCGATGGTCAGTGATTTTAAAGTAATTTTGAGTGATAAATAATTTTTTTTTTGCGATAATTGCACTTGCCCGGTGGCAGAGATGGGAAGTAACGAAGTACAAATACTTCGTTACTGTACTCAAGTAGATTTTTCTGAAATTTTTACTTTACTTTACTACTTATTTTTATGACGACTTACCCAGTATTTTTACATAAATATCATCATCATCTTACATTTTAAAAAATTGGCTCGTTACTTTAGTTTTGAATCATTTCAATGGAGTTACCGTTATTATTTTTCACGTCATCAATACCAAATCCAATCTAATTGGATGGGAATCTACGTTGCATTCGACGCACCACTACAAGATGAATCAACAGATTCGGCGGTATTCATTGGCGGCAAATCATTGCAGCTTGGTGGCGGTGGCGTTAGCATAGTAGCATGGACGACGAGATGATTGAAAATGAACACAACGGAGATCTAGTCCTATTGGCAGACATCCATTTAAAATGTAGGCAACGGCATGAAAAAAGTGGTTTCTACTTTTACTTTTATACTTTATGTCAATTTACAAGCCTGTACTTTGTTACTTTTACTTGAGTAAAGAAGTTTAATCAGTACTTCCACTTTTACCAGAGTATTTTTTAACACAAGTATCTGTACTTTTACTCAAGTACGGAAAGTGAGTACTTTTACCATCTCTGCCCGGTAGGCAAATGCAATGACATTTGTATTCTCCCGACAATTAAAAACTACTTGCCCCGGGCGATCGGGCGACGGTTAACATCGAGCTCTGCTATACATGAGACGCTGTCAAATAAATATCAATGAATATCAGATTTATCAATAAATCCCTAAAATCTCTCTCCCTGATGATCAATGTGGTGGATCACACCAAAGATCAACACACACATGTAACAGGTGTGAGGAATTAACACGGATTGCTGTAAACGGTTAAATGCCGTTCAGACACCGGAGAATGATGATGAGCGATGGATCCATCGGCTCTGCTGGAAGATGATACAAATGGGAGACTTAGCAGAGAACACATTTTCAGGGATCATAAAAGTTCCCTTTTGGTCCGTCAGACTTACTGACATATCAGCCGATTATAGCCCTTTTCTACTGGCTGAAATCCAGTTTAAACCTGAGAACAATCGGCTTTTAGTGGCAGTAGGAACAGCTCACTGACATGTGTCTACCCGGGTCAAACGACTCGGTAAGCGACCTAATCACCTCAGCTCTGATTGGTATGCTGTGGGAGCACCCTAGCTGTGTTGACCCGCTAAATTACGTGACACCATTAAACGCAACGTGCAAACGTCAATACACCGCGGCAGTCGATTATGATCCAACAAGCAGAAACAACTCTGTTTGCATTCGATAAACATGGAGCAGCTCTGGTGAGAGAGATTCTGACAGATAATAGAGCGAAACAATAAATCACACTGACTATGCCCTGACTTCCTTACACGTTGCTCTCCATTGTTTACTTTCCTAATTTCTGTCGCCTTGGTGACATCATCAACGCTAACCCAGTGTGATGGTGTCACCAGACATGCAGCTATGGGGGGACAGAGGCCACGCAGCTGCCAGCTAGGGGTTAGGCCAGCTTTTTTTTTTTTTTGCCAGTGAGAAGGGAGCCAAATGACCAGCCGATCCTGGTCAGGGATCCAGAACAGACAGGAACAGACAGGAACAGGATCCAGATAAGACAGGAAAAGAACAGGTGGCAGGATCCAGACTTCAGGCATCCACAGGCTCCCAGGGACCATAAGCATGACCAGGCAGTCACATACAGGATCAGGTGCAGATGAGTAGGCTCAGTGGAAGAGGGTAGCTGAGACAGGACGTGGAACCAGAACTTGATTCAGGACTTTAAACTGGTCTCCTCCCTGGAGCCAGGCTTACTTGGATAAAAACTGAACCTCCCCACATATAGAGCCAAAAACCCAGATGACTCTGTGGGGGAGGAACAGTGGACGATCCGGAGACGAGACAAACACTAAAACCCTCTTTCCACTGGCTGCTAGGATCCAGGACATGAACCAAGGCAAAAACTGAACAGACAGACTAACAGAAAGACAAGTAATGATCTGGCACTGAATGCTCAGGCTGAACTGAATATAACCAAGAGGAAACAGGTGAGAGGAATAAATTTAATTGAGGCAGGGAGGGAAAACGACAGGTGAAAGGAATGACTAATTAAGGAGCAAACAGGCCAGATCATGACACCAGCAAATCATAGGGGCCTTTTATGCCTAATCAATTCTAAGGGCTTACTGCGCAATGCTGACAAACTAAAACTATTTCCATCCACATTGAGGAAACTCAGTATTTCCCAGTGTTGCATACCTTAAAGGAATTAAAATCATATTAAATCTAATAACCCACTCATTGTTCATGTTTCATGTAGCGTAGCTCGGCAATGAATGTCCTTCCTGATCTCCTTAATATGACATATTATCTTATAATTATGGATCTTATCTCATAATTATGACATCTTGTTTTGTAAGATCTCATAATTACAGGATAACAATCTCATAATTATGAGATAAGCTGTCAGAATTTTTTTTCTTTGAGGCTAACACACCACTTCACTCACCAACACATCAATCTCTCAGGTACACTACTTTATTTTTAATTTTTTTGCTGTCTTCCCTGTGGTTGGCATTGGTAACCATTAAATAACATTGATCAACTGGCTAATTCATGGTGCATTTACTATACATGTACGATTTAAGCTTGGATGTGGGCGATTAGTGGGCATAACATGCCCACTAATCGCCCAGGTGTTGTTAAAAAGGGACATTTGCTTGTTGGTTCGATAAATCTAAAATATGTCCTATAAACTTAATGATAGATCCCATCATTGATGAACTAGACCTGTTATTTTCCTAACGTCTCTGCTTGTATCTCCTTGCAGAGCAGCAGCGTTCTTGGCTCATCCAGCAGGTGGAGATCGACACAAACTTCCTTCAGAGGCTCAACGTGTTGGACTACAGCCTCCTGCTGGCCCATCAGCCTTTACACCAAGACGAACGCAACCAGAGCCTGTCCTTCGCTTCCCTCATCGTCAGGACCAAAAAGTCAGTATCTCCTCCAGAGTTTATCTGCCTTGGATGGTTTGGACAGTCAGGCAGGGGGAAGAGTAACAGAACAAAACTGAGCCTCAGTTTATTGTGACTTCAGTCATTTTTAGGGGTTCTTAAAGGAAAAGTCTGGGATCGGCCATTTTTGCAGAAATATAATAACGCCTAAGCCTAGCGCCATTCTCCCCGCTTTACAAGCAAAATCAATGTGAACTACTAGACACATCTGCAATCAACAACAACTATTGAAGATTTCCAGAGGACTTCACCATTGAAATTCACCAGAGCTATAGTGAAACTGACAATGCCCACGTGCATGGCAGCAGGAATTTGGAATATATCGGGTAAAAGTGGAAAAAAAAGAGTTATTAATGTTATACATTTATACAGTTATACATTCTAATCAGTTAAGAATGTTTTCAAGGTGACTTGGATAATAGCGCGTTGTGACAAACACCAGATACAGCACTGGGACTTGATCAACAGCCAATACCGCACCGTGACGTTACAAACCAGTAGGTGGCAGTAGTAGGAAATTGTTCCTAGATTTAAAGTCGTAGGGAAGCGGCTGTTCCAAACGTTGCATTTCCAAATTCTGCCGAGTGGTGCCCGACTTTACACGAGTTATCAAGGGGGCGGGATTGTTGTGGCAGAGGGTTCACAAGCAAGTTCGGTTGTGGTTCGGTTTGTGGAAAGCATCCTGCTAACCAGTTAGCAACTTAGTGCTAGTAGGTTCCCAATGAGAAATTCCATTGGGACCAAGTAGCACTAAATTGGTGACTTAGAAACGACTCTGTCAAGGAACGCTATGGACAGCGGAAACATGCAAGAGGAGGAGAGTTTAGTGTCGGAGGTCGTGGATGAGTCTCCTCCGTCATTAATTTTTTATTTAGAGGAGGAAAGCGGGGACAAAGATTAGGGATGAGAACCGGTTTCAGCTGCCCAGCACGACATAATATCATCTGATAAACAGTACATTTATATACATGTTTAAGCCAGAATGATTTGACATTTAAATATGATTTCTCTACGATTTTAAAACAAAGGATCTGAATAAATGATTAGTAGAACTATAATATGTTGAAGTAAGCATTCAGCTCTTTCTCTTCCAAAAACAAACAATCACACATAAACTTGAGTCCCAAAGAACGTGAAACCTCCTGTAACGCTTGGTGGCGGTGCGCCAGATGATGTTTACTGAATCAGATTTAAAACCAAACCCATTAAGATGACAATGAGATTTTGGTGAAAGGGTCAGGAAGCTGTTCACATCTCCACAGCTCAGCTGTTCTTGGCAGCAGAACCGTTGTTGAAATGTTTAAACAGCTCAAAGGAGGTTGGACTTTTGCTGATACAACATTCTCCATTAAACCTTTACTAGACTCCAGTTTCTCTCTCCTTCCAAAAATTGTGTCTACATCCAGAGGCCTTCGTTTTCTGTCCAATCAGAGTTCAGAATGACACATCCAATCACTCCAAATGGAACGGTTCTGTAGAAACTGGACCTCAAGGTTCTGCTCAACCTGGAAATCACCGTAGCAACCATCCTCTGTCTCAAGTTGCTTTATCACTCACCTCCTCTCTCTATGTTCATCCATCATGGCTGCCCACATAGAAGCCATATAATTTTTGAAATCTGATTCTTTCACATTTGATTAGGAAGCAATGATGATAATCAGTAATTTTCATCTCAAATCAAATAAAAAAACAAAAACTAAGCAGATGTTTAACATGGGCTTTCAAAATAAAGCTTGCAGATACTCCAGTGAATCAAGCTTCCTTTTTAGAGCGTTTTACACAAATTGCCCTACAGGTCCATAAAATGAAGGAAATGAAAATATATATGTGACAGAATAAAATTAAACATAACATATTAAAGTAAAAAACAAAGAAACCCCACAATATAACAAACCAATAAAAAATGAGGGAAAAACTTTAAAACATCCACAGTTGAAGCGTAATGTGTAAAGCGTGTGTATTTTTGTATTTTGAAAATACAAAAATGCACAACACTGAAGTATTTTGATAGCAAATAGGAAGATATTTTTTCATCATCTCAATAAAATACAAATGAAAAAATAGTATTTTGTATTTGAAATACGTATTTCAAATACTTGTATTAGAAATACTGCCCATCGCTGCACGCATTTATTACTTATTTTGTTGTAAAAGGCTTGATCAAATGGTATTACTAAAATTAAGCGTAACAGTCAACAATAAGAAGTATGACAACTGAACCATGTAATATTACATTTTTGGCTAATATCGGACTGATATTCAATATTAATATTGGATTGGGAAACCCTTACTGAATATATGAACAATATAAAGATGTGGACAGAATCATTCTTTTTTTTCTTCTGGTTATTACTTCTCTTTTTTTTCTTTGGTTACTTTCTCTTCCCTCTCGCTGGGCAAAGTGTATGGATGGCCTTCCATTTCATCAGAAGACAACAATTAGAACGATCTACAGTCATCTTTGCTTGTTCTATAATCGCCTACAATTATACACATCTTCATGTGCAGGCAAAACACAGATGGCTAACTAGTTTGACCCCTAACAGCTACCATAATAGAAGATGGGGACACAATGGCTAATCCCTATATAGGGCACTACACTCACTACACACTTTATTAGGTACACCTGTCCAACTGCTCGTTAACACTTAATTTCTAAGCAGCCAATCACATGGCAGCAACTCAGTGCATTTAGGCATGTAGACATGGTCAAGACAATCTCCTGCAGTTCAAAGCGAGCATCAGTATGGGGAAGAAAGGTGATTTGAGTGACTTTGAACGTGGCATGATTGTTGGTGCCAGAAGGGCTGGTCTGAGTATTTCAGAAACTGCTGATCTACTGGGATTTTCACGCACAACCATCTCTAGGGTTTACAGAGAATGGTCCGAAAAAGAAAAAACATCCAGTGAGCGGCAGTTCTGTGGGCGGAAATGCCTTGTTGATGCCAGAGGTCAGAGGAGAAGGGCCAGACTGGTTCGAGCTGATAGAAGGGCAACAGTGACTCAAATAACCACCTGTTACAACCAAGGTGGGCAGAAGAGCATCTCTGAAGGCACAGTACGTGGAACTTTGAGGCAGATGGGCTACAGCAGCAGAAGACCACACCGGGTGCCGCTCCTTTCAGCTAAGAACAGGAAACTGAGGCTACAATTTGCACAAGCTCATCGAAATTGGACAATAGAAGATTGGAAAAACGTTGCCTGGTCTGATGAGTCTCGATTTCTGCTGCGACATTCGGATGGTAGGGTCAGAATTTGGCGTCTACAACATGAAAGCATGGATCCATCCTGCCTTGTATCAACGGTTCAGGCTGGTGGTGGTGGTGTCATGGTGTGGGGAATATTTTATTGGCACTCTTTGGGCCCCTTGGTACCAATTGAGCATCGTTGCAATGCCACAGCCTACCTGAGTATTGTTGCTGACCATGTCCATCCCTTTATGACCACAATGTACCCAACTTCTGATGGCTACTTTCAGCAGGATAATGCGCCATGTCATAAAGCTGGAATCATCTCAGACTGGTTTCTTGAACATGACAATGAGTTCACTGTACTCAAATGGCCTCCACAGTCACCAGATCTCAATCCAATAGAGCATCTTTGGGATGTGGTGGAACGGGAGATTCGCATCATGGATGTGCAGCCGACAAATCTGCGGCAACTGTTTGATGCCATCATGTCAACATGGACCAAACTCCCTGAGGAATGCTTCCAGCACCTTGTTGAATCTATGCCACGAAGAATTGAGGCAGTTCTGAAGGCAAAAGGGGGTCCAACCCGTTACTAGCATGGGGTACCTAATAAAGTGGCCGGTGAGTGTATATAGTGATTATGCCATTTTAAATGAGTGTCTAAACATATAGTGCATGAAAAAAAGTAATGTACTCGAAAGTTCCCACACCTTGAAAAGTATTTATCATCGATGATCGTTAGACGTGGAGATATATCCCTGTTGCTTTGCGAGAGCTCTCCACGCAACAATTAGGATTTGTTGTCACAGAGGCCCGCTGTCAACAGCAACAAATATCAAAGATGGAGCAGGCGCCGTGTTGAGAGGCAGAGTTATGTGACCAATGGGGAGCGAGAAGTAGTGAAGTTAACTGGGTTCACTATAAAGTCCACTATATAGTCCGGCTCTATATAGTGATTGAGGATTTAGGGGAACGCCGTTTTTTTTACATTGGGCCCTTGATTTTACATGAACGGTAGCCGTGTGGGCCGGCTACCGTTCATTCTTCCTGTCTGCTGAACTGCTGCTAGTTTTCCTCACATGCCTGGAAGATGTCTAGTGCTGCTACCACAGATGATCTCGTTCTCCTAATGGAATTGATCGATTCAGATTAGCTAGCCAAATGAATAGAAGGGGTAGCCGCCTGTGGCCCGGGCTTCCTGTCACAACTACAGTCCGGCGCACGGATGACATCATATATGCGCCGCTTTGTTTTTAAAAGATATAAAATATATAACTGCGGATTTCTGGGGGACAGTGATTCCCCTACATGTTATGAATGCTGGCGTACCATAAAGAATAAATGATGAACAGTTCAGTTTGTGCCTTCAAGTTGTTGCTCATAGGAAGACGTTACTTGGATATAACCTAACGGAGTATCTTCAGAACGGCTCCAAATGACACAAAGCTCATATGGGTGAGTAGAACATGATGGAATAACGTCAAATCAAGTGGCCAATGTAAAAAAAAAAAGGCATTCCCGTTTAAGATGCAGCCCATATGGTGTCTTCAAATGGGTGCACCGCCATCTCTGTATTTATAATCAACTCAGAGAGATTGTTTTGGAACACTTTCATTTTAAGCACGATTGTAAGACCTTGGAAGAGTATGTATTTATCAGAGCAATACATGAGTTTTCGCAACAACAAAAAGAAACAACCATCTAAGTAGTTATAAACTGTCCCTGGGAAGGTGTCGGACCAATTGGTTGAAACATTTGTTCTGGAGCTGTTGCTGTTTTTTTCACACTTTAGTAGAAAATTCTGGCAGAATAATTTTTAAATTCCTGCATGATGAGGTGGAAGAATGACTCCATGGGTTCTTTATCTGCTTCTTTCACTTTATTGTTACAGGTCTGTGAATCCAGGGTCCAGCCCCATACCTACCAGCGTAGTCAGAGTTCCAGGATCGGTACCAGATGATGATGCTACAAGAATGTTATCTGAATCGGACTCTGGCTTAAAGATGTCACGCAGCGGCAGCTTCTCCCCGACCTCTCAGGAGCACGTTGGCTCTGGAGCGGACACACCAGAGATTCCAGACTTCAAGGCTCAAAACCGACGCCTTCTGCCAAACCTGAAGAACCCGTTACACATTATAGATGGACCTGAGCAGCGCTACTTCATCGGCATCATTGACATTTTCACAGTTTACAGCTTTAAGAAAAGGCTGGAGCATCTGTGGAAGAGTCTGAGACATCCTGGGAGGTCCTTCTCCACCGTCAGTCCTCAAACATACTGTCTCCGGCTCTGTCAGTGGGTCCAAGACCACGCCAAGTAACAGACATCAGGATGACGACTGATTTTACAGGTCCAAAAGATCACAAGCATATAGCATGCTCATGATTGGGTCTATACATCCCAGAAGGTCTTTAAATGAGATAAAACCACCATCAGAGATACTAAAAAATAAATAGGTCCCTGTATTTTTGTAATTGTGCAAGAAGTAAACCATAGTAATGCATCAAGAAAGAAAGCCAGGCAGGCTCTGCTGATGAGCTGCATTGGTTAATAAAGAGAAATTAGCAAGAATCTCAGAGCAGCAACTAGTTTGGTTGTTTTGGCAACGCTGAATCTCATTGAAGAAGAGGGTTCTGGTACCGGTTCCTCTGGACAGATCCGACCAAAGCAGAGACAATTGACCATGATTGACAGAATCCAAACCAAACCCGCTGTTCTGTCAGATCACAATACCCTGTTAGAAGGCAAGGCAAGGCAAATTTATTTGTATAGCACAATTCAGTACAAAGACAATGCAAAGTGCTTTACATGATTAAAATACCGGAAAATAAAACAGAATCAAAGCAAGTAGGAAAAAATAATAAATAAATAAAATAAAATAAGTTGCAGAAGCGAAAAAAGACAGTTGGACTAAAGAAAATATGTTTTAGTTGAACTGTTTAACTAGAACAGTCGAAGGCAATCCTAAACAAATGAGTTTTTAGTCTTGATTTAAAGGAACTCCGCACTTTTACAGTTTTCTGGAAGTTTGTTCCAGATAAGTGGAGCATCGGAACTAAATGCTGCTTCTCCATGTTTAGTTCTGGTTCTAGGTCTGCAGAGCAGGCTGGAGCCAGAAGACCTGAGTGGTCTGGAGGGTTGATACACTGATAGCAAGTCTGTGATGTATCTAGGTGCTAAGCCATTCAGAGATTTATAGACTAATAGAAGTATTTTAAAGTCTATTCTCTGAGATACAGGGAGCCAGTGTAAGGACTTTAGAACTGGGGTGATGTGCTCTTTCTTAGTCTTAGTGAGGACACGGGCAGCAGCATTCTGGATCGGCTGCAGCTGTCTGATCTACTTTATAGGCAGACCTGTGAAAACACCGTTGCAGTAATCAATTCGACTAAAAATAAACGCATGGATTAGTTTTTCCAGATCATGCTGAGACATTAGTCCTTTGATCCTGGAAATGTTCTTCAGGTGATAGAAAGCCGACCTTGTAATTGTCTTTAAATGCTTTTGGAGGTTCAAGTCTGAACAGCATGCCCAGAGTAAAATACACATGCGCAAGATGTCAGATTCACGTTTATTCCTTTAGTTTTGGAAGAAAAATAGACTTTAAACTACCTTGACGGGCGTGTATCCCTTTAGTCATGTACAAAAAAAAAAATTACCCAATATAAGTCAGTTCACTAAATGTTAAAAAAAACTTTAAAAAGTAAGTAATTAAATAGTTTTTTTGTATATAACTAAAGTGATACTCACCTGTTGAGGGTATGCTGGTCTGACCAGGTATGCTCATCTGACAGAACACCAGCATAGCAGAACAAAAACAATGAAGGGTGGTGAACAGTCATTAGTTGGACCATGAGCTCCTCTGTAGGCCACAGTGTTCTGCATTCAAATGGGAGTCCATAGATATGGGAGAATTATCCTGCCATAATGCAAGAGCACATAATTTCAATTTGAGAAAAGAATTTCATCTTCTTGCACTCAAAACTTATAATGCTCACACTCAAAACATGCGCTCTCTCTCAAATATTTTCTGTTCTCTCTCAAATCTTTGTTTCTTCTCTCAAATTTAATGCTTCTTGCACAGATATTTTCTCCTCTCGCTTGCCTCCTTCTCTTCGTGCACAAACCGCGGTCTGCTTGAGTCTCACATACGCTCGCAAACCCGTAGGCTCTGCTTGCAGATGTTTTTTGCTCTCTCTCAGATTGGATTGGATCGTCGCCTAGCAACCTTTCCAGGCAATAGAATGACAACCTCGGAAAGGGTGCGCTTGTCTAACTCTACTGAGTGTCCCTGTGATAAACCTTACCCACAATTAAATGGCTTTTTAATTGGCCAATTTTATTGTCGGTAAGGTTTATCACAGGCACACTCAGTAGAGTTAGACAAGTGCAACCTTTCTAAAGGCTGTCGTTCTATTGGCTGGAAAGGTTGCTAGGCAACGATCCAATCCAATCTGAGAGAGAGCAAAAAAAATCCGCAAGCAGTGCCTACGGGTTTGCGAGCGTATCTGAGACTCGAGCAGAGCGCGGTTTGTGCACGAAGAGAAGGAGGCAAGCGAGAGGAGAAAATATCTGTGCAAGAAGCATTAAATCTGAGAGAAGAAACAAAGATTTGAGAGAGAAGAGAAAATATGTGAGAGAGAGCGCATGTTTTGAGTGTGAGCATTATAAGTTTTGAGGCAAGAAGATGAAATTCTTTTCTCAATTTGAAATTATGTGCTCTTGCATTATGGCAGGATAATTCTCCCATACATCCGTCCAACAGCTGAAATTTGGACCAAACTTCAGTCTGTTCTGTTCGTTCACCAACAGAACATCGATCCAGAACAGGTGCTATGGTGTGGCCTGACGTAGTCCTACTCAATTTTAGTCAGAATATGAGTCTGATACTGCTCCATAGAGCTGTGATTATGGAACCAGGAAAAAAAATGCCTCTGCACTCAATTGGATAGACCTACAACCAATAAGAGCAACGGAGTGCGTGACGTATGTTAAGCAACGCGTAGTTGTTGTCCACAAAAATCAAAGCGTGCAGTTGCACGCCTAGAATAAGAAGATGAGCCTTGATCGCGTTTCTCTGTTCCTCTTTTAAAATTAATTTGCTGTCGATATCTTCTAGAACAGACCTAATAGCAGAATTTAATCACCTCAACTCTCCAGCGGCAGCCATTGTTGTTGTCACCCAAGCGCGCTTTGGTGACTTCGTTGATTACGTTACCGTTCATCAACTGTCCATCATCGTATAAAGCCCGCCCTGACAATTTGATTGGTCTGCCAGATATTGTGCGAGCATACTCGCGCTACTATTGAGCAATGCCAGACCGAACTTCCCGACCTCAAACGTTGTGGGCGGGACTAAGTTCGGAATGGCACCCAGGCTAGCTATGGTGGTCTACTTTGATGGAAATATTCCAGTGGTACCTTCAGAGAGCCCAGCAGAACCGAATCCCTCAAAAGACTGAAGGATGTTAGGAAGAAGAATGGCTCAGGATTTTTTTTAAGGAGGATTAGGTTCAACGGATTCTTGTCTTAGTTTTTCATGCACATCTTGTAGATTCTGGTTTGGTTTCTGTCAGACGTTTAATGACAAAGATCTGAAGATGGTTTTACCTCATTTTAGACAACAGTGATGCTGATCCATTTTGCCCGGGCCCTTAACATAAACCAATAAAAATGAAAGAGAATCGCTCTTTTGATTTCTATCTTCATAAATAGAAAAAAATGGCACACATGATATGCAATTTATTTATTACACAAAGAACTCGCTTTTCTGCCTTAAAGGGACACATATATAAACATAGGAGTGATTTTATAGACTTGTGTGAAGTGTGATTGAATAATTAGTACCTTATTTTCATGCTTTTGCGATGAATCCACGTTAATATGCAAACCTACTTCTTTCTTCTGTCGATTCCTGGAGGTCTGATCTGCTGAGCCTATTCTAAAAACATAAGTACTGGTTCTAGATGCTCAAGTGTTTATTCTGATGGCCTTCTGCTTCTTTTTTGGATTTTTCTGCATTAATGCTGACATCAGAAATGGTCCATCCGATCATACCAGGGTCCGTCCCATGTGTGTAATTGTGGTCTGGGAGTAATCCCTGCACTGAGTAATGCAGATCGTTCTGGATGTAGAGCCAAACAAGGACAATGGAGCAGATATGAAGACCTTGTGATGTCATGCATCTGATCAGGCTCCTCCCAGGATCCAAACATGTCCTGGTTAACTAAACCTTGAGTAAACTGGGACCTGATGACCTGAAAGTGAGAGGGGAGATACCCGCCAATAGGTGTGCATGCGTTGATAACATTTCAGCCAAGATATGACACTGGATTAATGCTTTCATTTTTTGTTGTCTTCCACTCGTTCCCATTTACTGGGGGTTAATAAAACACATTTAGGTGCATTACCGCCACCAGCTGGTGTAACAACCTCATCAGGTTGTTTATTTATACTTCAGTCTTTTGTATTTTGCAAAGTTGTAACTCGGTTAGTTATTTATGTAACTTCTTAAAGGAGAAATCCGGAAAGAAAGGAATAATCAGTGAATCATTATCTATACCTAAAACTAATACGTTTGCAGTGATTTAATAAATTTAGCATTAATCAGTAAAAAAAATAAAATATTAATTAAAAAAAATATAGTAACCCCTCCCTCCAGCCATCTTCCAGCAGTGACGTCACGGTGCGGTAAGCCTAGCGCCATTCTCCCCGCTTTACAAGCTAAATCAATGGGAACTACTAGACACATCTGCAATCAACAACAATTATTGAAGATTTCCAGAGGACTTCACCATTGAAATTCACCAGAGCTATAGTGAAACTGACAATGCCCACGTGCATGGCAGCTGGATGCTGGAATACATCGGGTAAAAGTGGAAAAAAAAGAGTTATTCTACCTTTCTGATTCCTGATCCTCCACGGACGGGTTGTTCGTTGGATCGCCAACTTGAAGAGGGAGGATTTGCCATCGAACTTCTGGCCAGAGAAAAAACCCGTAATATGTAGCCAACATTTGGAAGAAGAATGTTTTCAAGATGGCTTGGATAATAGCGCGTTGTGACAAACACCAGATACAGCACTGGGACTTGATCAACAGCCGATACCACACCGTGACGTCACTAACCAGTAGGTGGCAGTAGTGTTCTTTGACAAACATGGATGCCTCCAGTAAAGCACATTCACATGAAAATTACTCTGAATTAAAAACACTGATCAGTTATTGAACAGGATGGAATAATTTCATATTTAAAGTACTTTCAGGAGTTTGAATTCTGAATATGACCGGACTTTTCCTTTAACTTTCATTCTCATGGATGAAACAAACAAAGACAAATCTTAAATTTCTTTGTGGGCTTCACAATAGTGTGGTGGTTAGCACCATCCTCTCACAGCAAGAGGGTTGTGGGTTCGAGTCCCAGGGGAACCAGGACCTTTCTGCATGAGTTTCCATGCTGTCGCTTTGGTTTTCTCTGGGTTATCTTTTCGGCTACTCCCACAGTACAAGAACTTGCATTATAGGTTGATTGGACATTAAAATTGCCCTTAGGAGGGGGTGAGTGTGCGAGGTTGTCTTTGAGTGTGTCTGTCTTGCCCTGCGATGGAATGGCGGACCATCCAGGGTGTAGAAATTGGCTTACTTTTAAAAATGAAGCCACTTACTCATACGTTTTTACCCCACGAGAATCACAAATGCTTCATATCTGACAGCATAAAAGGACATTTCTGACTGTACACTCCTCCCATCTGGTGGCAGATTCCCTCCTGAAGTGAAGGATGTTGGATCAATTTGGACCTTTCTAACCCCTCAGTGA